TTAGAGGAAGCCAAAACAGCCCCATCTAGTCTCTCTCCTGTTACTTCTTCTACCCTAAGTTTTTCCTTCGTTTCACTGTCCCCGGACTTAATACATGTATTATCAAAATCACCTGGACTTGTGTTATGAATCTTTTCTATACAAAGTCAGGAACCCACACTACAGGCCCACCTGAGGCCGACCTGTTCCAAGATGGTGCCTCTCTGGTAACAACCAAGCCCTTTCTTTGTGCTTTCCCATCCCTCCCTCCTCCTTTTCTTGGAGTTGTGCCTTTAATTTAGACTTATCCCCACGATCTCCAAGAAGCAAGAGACAGCCAGGAAGAGCCTAGGTGACATGAGCATAAAACATGAGAAGAGGGTTAATAGATGCAAAACCAAGATGTCAGGAATCTGTCACTTGAGAAATGCATTCTATCTAGTGCTTGAGAACTCTTCTGAACTGTTTTAATTTCATCAGATTAGTCAAATCCTGGGAAAATTTTACCTAGGTATATGCAATAAGGCTATCTTTACATAATAGGCAGATAAAAAATAGATGCAGAAATAGTAGTAAACCTATGCAACTATGTGGTATGGGAGAAGGGGGAGCAACAGCAGACAATGAACCATAACTAAGTGCTAGTCATGTCCATGTACTACTAAATGCAATGACAGTTTTATTGTTTGATAACATAACCCTATGATATAGTGCTATTATTATCCCCGCTATATGAATGCAAAACATAGACAGGATTGAAATAAACAGACCCAGGTGTGGTGTCAGAAGGAACACGACCACAAAAATATCAACTATGAACATAAATTTTATGCACTCTGGTCCTATACCACCATCGATGGAGAGCAGGCAAGTCATTTAACACCACCTAGCTAATATTTGAACTAAGCATTTAATGAGCTTTATTTCATTTAATTTTCACAACTGCCCTTTAGGTGCTTTTCTTATCTTCACTTCAGAAAATAAGTAGCTGAGGTTTAGATAAGTTAAACAATGTACCCAATATTTGAAGTGTCTAATTCTAATTCTAATTCTAATGTCTAATTCTAGAACTGCTCTGTTCTTTCCTGCTTCGTTCAATACACCTATTAATCACTGTGCTTTTGTGAACATCAAAAACGAATTGTTCAAAAGCACCTTGTGAAACACTGAAACTCATGTCAGTTAATATTACAAAATCAGCTGAGGCCAGATAAAATTTCCTTAGAATTTAATACAGCCATAGTATTTTTAAATGTTTACATTGTTCCAGTTACCAGCATTATCTCATGTAACCTTCACGCGAGCCCAAGAGAAAGGTCCTGCTTTAATTTTTAGTTGTTACGCGTGTTTTTCTGAGACACTGTGAGATGCAGTAGCATAAGCAACTCTGAGGCGATGCTGTAGTGCTGTCCAAGTTTCTGTACTTAGGTGAGGGAAAAACGCGGTAGCTGGAGGGACTTCCCAGGGCTCAACGGCTGGCACAGGCCCAGCCATCGCATCAGAAGGAACGAGACATGGTTTCAACAGCAATGAAGCCATTACTTTTGTTGAACAGGGACGGAAGAATCGGGCTACATTATTAGAGCCCACCAGGGAGCTGCAAATGAAACCCAGTCCAGGCTCACGACTGCTAGAGAGACGCTAGGGCCTCCAGCTCCCTGTGACTTTTCCTTGCGTGTCTGGGTAATTGCTGGAGGTGAGCGCGGGCTTGGCAGGATCCGGAGCTTTAGGGGTCATCCTTTTCTCCTGGGTGACTGGGATCGACCCTTACACTCAAACTAAAAAATGTCATTTTTTTCATTTGTCCGGCAAACGTTTACTGAGCGTCTACCATTTTTCCCCGGTATACATAATGCGGCACCTACACCGGCCAAGACCCATGTTCGCGCTTCTCGGTGTCAATCGGTGTACACAGAGGGCTCGGGTGCCCGGGGCTTTCGCCCCGGAGCCGAAAGCGAAGTCCATAGCCGCTGCGCCCTGCCAGCGCGCGCCCGAGGGCGGTACTGCCCTACGCACATGCACACGCACGGGAACGCCGGGTTCCCGCGTCCCCAGCGTTGTACCGGCGCCAGGCGCGGGCGGGAGCTCCGGAGTCTGAGCAAGAGGCGGGAGCTCTAGGCGGGGCGGGTGCCCGAGAGCGGCGCTCGTGCATACGCTCTCCTGCTCCCAAGGCCCCGCCCCTGTCCCGCCCTCCCCTTCTCCCGCGCGCGGGCTCCGCGCGCCCCAAATTGCGCGCGTGCGCGCGCGTGCGCAAGCCAGGGCCCTCTGGGGGGCGGCCCCGTAGACTCGAACGAAAGCGTCGTAAAGTCCCGGATTAACCCTTTCTCTGCTCGCCAATTTAGAGTCCCGGTCGGGTTCCGTGCCTGCGCCAGCCGGCGGCGCGCCTTCCTCCCAGCCCGCACCGCGCATGCACGGGAAGGGGGGGTGCCGGTGGGGGTTTTCAAGGCCGGGTAGACATTCTGTGCTCGTGCAGGAGGAGGGCTGCTACCATCAGGGACGTGCACGATTCCCCCCACCCCGCCCCCTCCCCAAACTAAAAAAAAAAAACAAACCTAAAACACACTGCCACCCACCGTGCCCCCGTGCCCCGCGTCCATCCCGTCCCCGGCCTGCGTGCAGCAAGCGCGGGGAGCTCACGGCGAGTGTCTGTGGCTGTGCCACGCTGCAGGTAAGCGCGGGCCGGGGGTGCGGAAGGGGCCCGGGCCGTCAGCGAGGCGGGCACGGGGGCGGCAGGCGCCTGGCGCGGCGGGGCGGCCCGGAGGAAGCGCGTTCTCGCCACGCTCTGGGGCACCAGCCAGCTCCAGGATGTGCAGACGGCCGGCGGCGGCGCGGTGCGAGCGGGGACGGGCGTGGGCCGGGGCTGGGCCGCGCGTGGGGAACGGGCGTTCTGGGTGCTGCGTAGGCCGGTGAGCGGGCTGGAACAGTAGACGGGCGGCGGCCGCAGCGGCCCCGCGCGCGCGCTCGTTGAGCCTTGGTGGCAGAGTTCATGGCCGTCCTCGCTCACATCTCCGCAGTGCTCCGCGGTGAGGGTTCGGACGGCCCGGAGCCCTGCGCCGATTGTGGCCCTCCGGGCGCCGCCCCTCCAAGCCGGGGACCCCACCGCACCGCCCCCAGCTGCCTGTGGAGGAGGGGGCCGGGACCCCCACGCTCGCACTCCCGGGTGCGCCCGCCGAGCTCGGGAAGCCGGCCGCGCGCCGCCCCCGCCCCCGGCCGCGGGAGGGCGGGGGAGGGCCCGGCGCGAGCCGGCCAGGGAGTGCGCGGGGCGCGAGCTCCGGGCTCGCGGGCGGTACGGGGCGCGGCGCGGCGCGGCGCGGGGCTGCGGAGACGGGCCAGACGCCCGCTCCCGCTCGCTGCCGCCGCCGGGACCGCCGTGGGCTCTTTCTCTTGCGCTCAGAGCCGAGGCCACAAGCTTGCGCGGGAAGCCTAATTATGAAAGAGAAAGTCACTCTTTCACCTTCCGGCTCCGAGGCCGGAGCTTTTGTTTGGGAAGAAATGCAAACGGCCTCATCCACTCCCCCATTTTCCGGGTAGAAAAACGAGAGCGTGGCTTGGAGAACCTATGAAGCTGGATGGCTCTTGCGCTTCGTTCATTTTTTTAATCCCATCCCTAGTTGCGAGTTTTGGATAGGGAAGTCTTGCCGCCGCCATTGTCGCGGCTGTTCGGGGCTAGGGAAGGCGGCTGCCTGCCTGTGTAAGTTTGGCTGTGCTGGAGCCCCCACTCCCTGTTCTGTAACGGCGGCTTGGTCCTCCAGAGGTTTGGAGAGCTGTAATAAAGGGGCAGCTTTGTTACAGAGGTGTAGTTGAGGCTACAATTTTCTCACCACCTGCATACTAGTAATGGGTATCCTCCAGTTTGACGCACCTGAATTTAGCAGTTGGAACATTTCAATAGGAAAAAAGTGGCCCTCAGAGACCTTGAGAGTGGAGGCCAAAATGCACCCGGGCCAAAAAAGAAAAACAACAACAAAAAAGCACACTGATATGTACGGCCCCTTCTCTCCCTATTCCATGCACTTTTATCCCACAAGCCCTGAAATACAGTAGGAAGTGACACGGTAGAAGTTTGGCCTGGCTGCTTTCTTTTGGGGATGACTACAGAGCAAGTCCCATTTAAGAACCAAAGTCGGAAGTATCTGTAAAACTAATTTTGCCCAATCCTCACACTTTGCAGATAAGAAATTTTCCTGCTGCTTTAAGATACCTCATTGCTGTTTTCCTGTCTGTAGAGGGAACTTTTTGATAGTTTTCAGAGTTCTGGTCTCTTGATTCGAGTTTTGCATTGCAGTTTTTGAGAAAGGGTGTTGCAACCCAGTCTCTTAATGTGGTCACTGTTCAGTAGAAGACTTTTTATATTTTTCAGGATATTGGTCTGCAGGATAGAGTCCCTATGGTAAGAGTTAAAATTCAAAAACTGAAATCTTTGAGCATCTCTGTAGGGGTACAGGTGAAAACACCTAGAGTTTTCAAATGCAGGCTAAATGGTATGTGCTACATCGTACAGAAGTGTAGAAAGAAGAAAGCAGCTACTGTTTCCTCCAGTATTAACTGTTGAGTATGTGAACTTATATAACTTTATCCATATCTATAAAAATAGATATACCCTCCTAATGATTCTAGAGAAAAATGTGGAGGGCTCCATACCTAGCAGGAAGTGGTGGGGGAAAGGGGCACTTTCTGGCTTTTTCTGTTATCTCTGTAGTCATATCAGTATCTATACATGGGCTTTGCTTCTGAGGAGAAATTCTTTAGTGGCTCTCCAGTACATTCTCTGATTTCTTGTGCACAGTCTCTCCACACCCCAGGTGCTGTAGCCCTTACCTCTTCTCCTTCATGTCTGCTCAGAGCTGAACCTGATGCTGCCAGCTGCCCTTCTCTCTGTCCCCAACCTAAAAATGGGTACATGTGCAAGTGGCAGGAAAGTTTATTTTTAAAAAACATTCTTGTTTAGAATTTGGGATAGAGGAAGATCCTATCTTACTCTCGTGTGTCCTTTTCTCTTGTAGGACTGGCGTGCCCCTGATCAGTTATTCTGATCTGAAGAATTTGGTGTTTCAGGCATTAAGACAATAGTCTGAGTTGTTCATGGTAACTATAACTTTGGATTTTAAATCTTGAAAATATGATTCAGTATTTGCTTTTGAAAATATGTGTATAGATATACACATATATATCGATTGTGTCATTTCTCTTGGGGGGGAATGTGTGTTTTTCTCATGTATACTGTGTTGAGTGAAAGGAAAACAATGTTTTTGAAAATAAAACAATACATTATTTTAAAAAGATCAGTTTTCATTTCCTGGCTGGGTAGCTCAGTTGATTAGAGCATTGACCTGATACACTAAGGTTGTGGGTTCAATTCCTGGTCAGGACACATAAAAGAAGCAACCAATGAATGTATAAGTAAGTGGAACAACAAATTGATGTTTCTCTCTCTTTCTCTCTAAGATAAATAAGCATACTTTTTAAAGTATCAATTTCTTTAATGTTGTGACAGATGTGTTCTGTGCCAGTTCTAAATTCCTTTGCTTGTAAAATACTTGCAGCACTTGTCAAGTACATCTGATCTTGATGACATTTTTGTCTGGATGGCAGATAGGTTGGCATCCAGAGGGAATAAAGCCGCTTATCACCTGTCTTCCCAAATGTCATCTGATTCTTTGAGGGTCATATTAAAACTTAGCTCTCATTCAGTGGCCCAAAACTAGTCTGGAAAAACTAGAAGACAACACCAAATGGAATATTTTGGCAATGATATCCCTCTCTAGTTCTGCAACAGTGATTTGTCAGTTCTGTCTACGAAGTAAAACACTCAACGCTGTTAGTTATTTTACTGAATCTTCCTCTACGTTAAATTGGAATAGATTCAACAGACAGGACTAGTGGATCTGTGCCTCAGAACTGTTTCTTAAACCTTGAAGCTGAGTTATTTGTCATTATTACCTCTACTTCTTGGGAATCACAGATTGTGGAGTAGATTTCTTGAAATTGAGTCCCAGCTCTCCACTAAATAACTAGAATATTGGGCAGGTTCCCAACCTCATCTATGAAGTGGAGATAATAATATCTATCCCATAAGTTTATTTGATCATTACATTTGTGAAGACATGCAAAGTACATAGAACAATACCTGGTATGTATTATGTGCTTAGTAAAAGTCGGCTATTATTATAACTAGGAAAATATTTAGTAAACTGAAGATAAATAGAAGAAACAATATGGGAATTCCTAAGATGGGATGGCTTTTTTACTCATATCCTTGAACCACTCATAATGACTGTCTGAAATTGTTCGGTACCAAAATTGATGAGAAAATGAAAAATTTGTCTTTTCTATATGAAAAAGTGTTTGTCCATAATTTTCAAACTTTCTTTTTAAAAATTTTTTTGTAGGAGTTTTTCATCAGTATGTCTGAAACCATTAAATATAATGACGATGATCATAAAACTCTGTTTCTGAAAACACTAAACGAACAACGCCTGGAAGGAGAATTTTGCGATATTGCTATTGTTGTTGAAGATGTGAAATTCAGAGCACACAGATGTGTTCTTGCCGCTTGCAGTACCTACTTTAAAAAGCTTTTTAAGAAGCTTGAGGTTGATAGCTCTTCAGTCATAGAAATAGATTTTCTTCGGTCTGATATATTTGAAGAGGTCCTGAACTACATGTACACAGCAAAGATTTCCGTGAAAAAAGAAGATGTTAACTTAATGATGTCGTCGGGTCAGATTCTTGGTATCCGATTTTTGGATAAACTCTGTTCTCAGAAGCGTGATGTATCTAGTCCTGATGAAAATAATGGCCAGTCAAAAACTAAGTATTGCCTCAAAATAAATCGCCCCATTGGAGATGCTGCTGATACTCAGGATGATGATGTGGAAGAAATTGGAGATCAAGATGACAGTCCATCTGATGACACTGTAGAAGGCACCCCACCGAGTCAGGAGGATGGCAAGTCGCCTACAACTACGCTCAGGGTTCAGGAAGCAATCTTGAAAGAGCTGGGAAGTGAGGAAGTTCGAAAAGTAAATTGCTATGGCCAGGAAGTAGAATCCATGGAGACCCCAGAATCGAAAGATTTGGGGTCCCAGACTCCTCAAGCCTTAACATTTAATGATGGAATGAGTGAAGTGAAGGATGAACAGACACCAGGCTGGACAACTGCTGCCAGTGACATGAAATTTGAGTATTTACTTTATGGCCACCACCGGGAACAGATTGCCTGTCAGGCATGTGGTAAGACATTTTCTGATGAAGGCAGATTGAGGAAACACGAAAAACTACATACGGCGGACAGGCCATTTGTTTGTGAAATGTGTACAAAAGGTTTTACCACACAGGCCCATCTAAAAGAACATCTAAAAATCCACACGGGATATAAACCCTACAGTTGTGAGGTGTGTGGAAAATCATTTATTCGCGCCCCAGATTTAAAGAAGCACGAGAGAGTTCACAGTAATGAAAGACCGTTTGCATGTCATATGTGTGACAAAGCCTTTAAACACAAGTCCCACCTCAAAGATCATGAACGAAGACACAGAGGGGAAAAACCTTTTGTGTGTGGCTCATGCACCAAGGCATTTGCCAAGGCATCTGATCTGAAAAGGCACGAGAACAATATGCACAGTGAAAGGAAGCAGGTTACCCCCAGTGCCATTCAGAGTGAGACAGAACAGTTGCAGGCAGCAGCGATGGCTGCCGAAGCAGAGCAGCAGTTGGAAACAATAGCCTGTAGCTAGAGGTGGTGGGACATGAACACTTTGCCTGACCCACGGAGACTGAGGTTGCATTGTTCATAATAAATGAACATCAGTCACTGTATTTTTTTTTTTTAACTTACGGAGCATTGTACTCACTGGACTTAAGACAGTGCCTGGTTAGGTGTTTTTAAAGCTTTTCAAGGAAATAGCGTTCATTGGTTCTGACCAAACAGTTTCACTGTCCTGTCTGGTGTCTAGTATTAATGTTGCCAGTAAGTCCCGCCCCTTCTCTCTCTTTTTTTTTTTCATGGTTTTAGTTTGAGGATTCCTGTGTCCAGTTCAGAAGTGAGAGACTTCCATTTTTAATTCCTCTCTACACTGCTGCACTGGTGAACACACTGCACAGAGTGATAATTGAGTAAATTGATTTCCTAATCCCAATTATATGTGACTTAATAGTCAAAACAGCATTTTAAATAACTTAATAAAAGTACTTAATGTAGACACAAATACTGGTGGGTGGTTGACCAAGAACACTGCACAAATATGAAAAGTAGGCCTGGAAATGTGGGATGGTCTTCGATTTGTACTTGATTTGTAATTTTCTATCACTGTTTTTTACAGTTTTTGTGGACAAATAATGGTTGCTTTGCTGAAGTGTCTCTTCATCCATTTTGATTGATTGCCCATACGTACCCCCAAAAAGTGGTAACAAGACTCAAAGGCTAAGCAAATCCATGGGGATGTTGGTGATCTGGGAGCTGAGTTCCTTCATTCCTCTTATTTGGGGCATTGCCACTCTGAAATGGATGGGGTTTGTGGAGTGGACCAGTGGTGAAAGGTTTAGAAAAGGGTAAATAGGAACCTGGCTCTCAGAGACAATGTTTTCACACTTGCAATAATTCCAAGATTTCCTAGATCAAAATAATTCTTAATTGATTTTGAAGTTAGGACAAGAGCAGGTATGCCTCTTCAGATACATTTGTGTAACTTAATAGAATGTTATCAAGCTTTTGTGCTCTCTGTAGCATATGATTTATCCGTAAAGGAGATGCAATATCATTACTTAAATTAATACATTTAAAATCTTTTAAGTGTGTAAATAGTATAGAAGTGTTGGTCTTACGTATTTCAAGGAAAAGTAGACAGCTGCACATTTTTTTGCACATTCGATTAAAATAACTTCCATCAGCAAGAAGCATCAGTCTGTTGTTAACAAATATTAAAGATTGTCAACCAAATGTTTATGTTTTTGAAGTATATTTCATCATTGGTTACAGTTTTAAGTAGAGTTGATTGCCTTTTCATAGCTGTAACAATTATAAATGATGTTCCCATCTTGGTGTAAGAAAAAATTTTTAAACCATTTCTTTTGGAATATATTGAAATAACAATAGTTTGAATTATGTTCTATAATAAAGCATTAGTCAATTATTTTGGAATGTACAATTTTAGAAAAATGTTGACTTTTAAAATTTATTTTTGGTTGATAGATTTTTAAAGATACATTAAAATAATTTCATTTCATAGCCTGTTGAATTAACACCTGTAATTACTATTGTGGGAGAAATTTTATTTTTTAAATTGGTATATATGTTATGCCAAGCTTGTAGGATGAAGATACTACCTTTTAAGAAACTTATTTATTGGTAAATGTTTAGTTTAAAATTAATTTAATTTTTCTTAAAACTTGTTTTTCCATCCTAAAAGTAGTCCTGTCACTGTTTATGTGCTGTTAGTAGAAGAGGAACTGATTGATGTTCCTAGGATGTTTTAACAAAAGCAGAAGAAAAATAATTTAACATCTTGTTGACAGCTACTTTAACAAATCATTTTTGGGTCTTCATCTTAGAATATATAAGAAAATATACTTTTATCATTCCTGTTTTCATAACAACCTTTCACAAGTGCATTTTCTTTACTATCTATGGTTTTTCAGAGTTTCAAGTTATGTGGTATTAACCATTTTTGAAACCACATAATCATAGTGGTACCCCCAAAAAGAAAGCTTAATTTTTAGTCCTTTATTTGTATTACATAAACATTATTTGTCCTATTTTGCATGAGAAATATATTTGTGTTGTAATTTCTACCACTGGTACTGGGTTCATATGTGCGTGAGGATGCTTGTCTTGGTGGCAGCAAAGTTACGACATGGCAGCTTTGCTGTCTCCTGATTGCTGAGACTGCCCCTCTCACCCAGCTGGCTCTAGTAGTTCCCTGGATGGTGAAACCAGGCAGTTCGAGGGTAACTCCAGTCACAGGGGGTTAATTCTGAAACGTCCTTACACTGAATCTGTCATGTGAGGTGAAGGAAATTCTATATGTCAATGTTACTATCTTTTTGTTATTTAAAGGTGACCTACTTTTTTCTTTCTGAACAAAGAGTATTTACAATTTGATTTTACCTTTTACGCCAGCTTGCATTGTATTGGCAGTGGTTGAGGAGGAGCATTTTAGGACATCTAAACTTTAGGTCATTTGCCTTAATTAACTTGATCACAAAATTAGAATTGTTAGAAATTGCAGAGGTTGCCATCAAGTGAAACCGATACTAATAAATTCATCCAATTTTGTTGAGAAAAAGAAAGATCGAGGTGAAGGAGAATAATGTAAATTTATGCAGTTTCGATTTAATAGGTTATGTTGTGTAAGGTTATCTACCTCTGTCACTGGGAACCTGGGTACATTTTCTCGAGTAATGTGGTTGGTGATTAATTCCTAGGTCAGCTATAAAAGCCTGTGTACGCATAGCAGAATTAGTGAAGGGCTTTAGTCTTGAGTTCTGAGTTGTGGGATTCAAAGTGCTCAGGCTTTCAGGAAAGAGAATGGAGAACTCTCCCTTCCCTCTGCCATTTACCTTTACAATCTACTTCCCTTTCTCCATCACCCAAGCCCACTGCCCTCCCACACCTCACAAATGTATGAGAGACAAGTAAAACATCAGAAGGAGGTGAGATAACCATTAACAGCCACCACAGTGAGAGCTTATTCTGATGCTTCTAATAACAAATCAATGAGCACTTTCAGTCATGGGGAACTCCCTACCTCCGTGATGCTCCACACTCTGATCTTGAGACAGCTCTAACTGCTCCTTGTTCTTTATTTTGTGTCCATTTTTGCATACCCCCTTGTAACTGGGTACTTCCTGCCTCTTGGAACTCTTCAAAAGAAACTTAAACATGCACCTGCCTGACAGCAATTCAGATGTAGAGATAGCGTGTTTTGGTTATTCAGCATGTATTGAGGCTCTGGGCTGGATCCCAGAAATAAAAAGGCAGAAGGGATTTGGCCCTGACTAGCAGAGTATGCTCAGTCTTGCATTAAGCATTATTTTTAGAAATGAATGCATTTTCTTATCACCTATTATCCATGAATTCCTTAAAGGTCACCATACTGATCTTAAGTGCCCTAGATGTAATTTATCTGGATTGTAATACTTCATCAGTTGTGTGATTCCATGAGCTCTTCAAGAGGTATTCCCAATTGCCAGTATTCATGTAAATATTTTCAGTATAAGTAGGGGGAAGTGTGATTTAGTGGAAACACATAGTCGAATTGGATCCTGGTTTTGGTCTTTAGTTAATGTATACATTTAGGCATGTTCTTCACTGCTCTGAGCCTTAGCTTTGTCATTTCTAAAATAGTAATTGGTATTTCTAGCCATGGTCTGCTGTGAAGATTAAATGTGAACCAGTACAAAATATTTAGCCCAGCACCCACTGCCTTTTAGGTGTACCATAAATGTTTCCTCCTTAAAGAGCATTCTCAATAGAGAAGCAGAAGCAGACTAAAGCTCTCCTGATTTTGATATGTCAGTTTTATGGTAATCAGCACCAGGCTGTAGACTAGACCTCCTTTAGTCTTAACTGAAAATGTCTATGAAACCTGTGTGTATCTTAGCATTTCTGTAATCTTAAACCCATTTGCGGCTTGCTTCTCACAAATGTGTATTCATTTTGGGATTCTCTTTGGTTTTGTAACCTCCCATCATTTAAGTAGGTTGTTGGCATACAATCAAGTATAAACTGGCCTCTGGATGGCTCCCTGCTTGTCTTTCTGTGGTGACAGAGTCAGAATTGCAATTTTCAGAGCTGACTCTTGTGAAAGCATGTATTTGGGGGGTATTTTTTATATTTTCTTTTCTAAAATTGGGTGTATTTCAGACTACACCCAATCTTTCTCTTTCTGGCTTATATGAATTCTAGGATGATCTATTGCTTTCTTCCCAAAGGGTCTTACACTACACCCAAGAATTCTCACTTTTCTTTTAGGTCAGAATGTATATTTACTGAGTCACTTGCTCTTCTTTGGAGGACATTTCCATTAATCCTACATAAAATTATTTTCTATAAAGAAATTTGAAGTATATCAGTCAATAAATGTTCATTGAATGCCTTGTATGTGCCAGGCATTGAACTTGATGCTGGGGGTGGAACAATGAAGAATGAATAACTCCTGTATGGAGCTTACCATCCAGGATGGAGTTAAGTGGTCACCATTCCAAGTTTTACAAAATTTCCCAAAGATTTACAAGTAATGGTCATAAATGAGCATAATTTTAAAAAATCTGCTGTAGTATGTATTTTTATCCAGTTCATGGAACATACTTTAGGAAGTAATTGAGTTTTTAATACATAGTCAAGAAACATTCTCAAGTGACTTTCCTGAATGTATACTGAGAAAATATATTTGTTAAATATCATCATTGCTATATAATGATTCTCATTTTTTTCATTGACAATGAATTTAGAAATGGGAATATGAGACTATGGTTTAATTCTTTAAAATAATAGATCCTGGCAAGAGAATATACTGATAAGAAAGAAAATTAGACAAGTTAAAAAAAAACAAAATAACCTGGGCTTCTAGAAGCTTTGAGTAAGGTATATTAACTCGAAGTCCTAGGGGAGGGAGCTTCATGAGCAATACAGGGTATGCTCAGCAGCAGCTCTGAAATGAGAATTAAGAGTGAGCAGGTATTTCCTAAGAGTCCCAAAACGGCATTTGTTGCATATTTACTAGGTATCGGGCACTAGATACAGGACCTCTGTGTATGCTTTGTGACAACTTTGAGGCACACATTATTACTGATGAAGATGCCAAGATTCAGAGAAGTTAAAAACCCTACCAATGTTAAGTTGTTATGAGAGCGAGGGTAGAAAAACAGGTCCAGCTACCACCATAGCCTGTGCCCATAGTCAGCCTGTGGTAGTGTCCTCAAACGGAAAGGAGCAACCATGGCCCTGCACGCAGTTTTATCAACTTCAGTCCACGGTGAGGAGGAGAGAGAGAGCAGCTGGAGGAGAGTTAGAGGCATTTATGCAGTTGCCCCTCAGTTCATACCATAAGGTAGTCCCCATATTTTGATTTCTCCAAGGAGTTTGTCCTGCAAGGAGCCACATAATAAATCAACATTGTTTTACCCATCTTTGGGTCTAGAGGCTGCCCCAAATATGGAAAACTAGATAAGAGTGTCATGGATGATTGCACAATAACAGCTACTTGTTGGCTTTCTTCCTGTGTTCCATTATTCAGTGAGCCAGGGAAACCTCACTGACCAAAGGCCATCTAATTTGGTGTCAAAATTAACTTTTCTATGTTTGTAAAAGTGGTTATCTGTGTTAGAACATCCCCACCTCCAAAAGGTGCTAGAAAACCTAAGGTTCTACCTCTACTGCTTTCAGGCTGTCACCACCTTCGGATAGTTAGTTGCATAATTTTTCTTAATTTCTTCAGGTAAAATGCATATGGTGATTCCCTGCCCAGTTTACCCCACTCTTATTATTTCAAAAGATAAATTTATTTCTTCCATAAGTAATAAGAAATTTAACTTTAAAATGTTTTAAAGATCAGATATAATTGATTTAAAAGATTACTGACCTCAAACAGGATGATAGATGGAGATGGTTGATGAACTTAAAATTACACTTCATTCTTATGCTGTTTAATTAAATGAAGGGTATGTGTATGAGTGCTGTTTCTCCTAAATCTTGGAATGATTGAGATATTCCATTGCATTCTGCATTCTTCCAGCAATCTTTCAGCAAATATGAAATAGGAAATAGTAACCAGATTGGAAGGCTACTGAATCAATTAGCCAGGATTAGTATAAAAATAGATTACATAGGGTG